CTTTCTTTCTTTCTTTCTTTCTTTCTTTCTTTCTTTCTTTCTTTCTTTCTTTCTTTCTTTCTTTCTTTCCTTTTCATCTCCTACTCTTATGCCTTACACACTGTACACCCAGAACAACTGCCATAAAGACATATTCCTCCACACCTTGTATAATCATATTTCTCAGCACACAAACACACAGGAGCATATAATCCCACAGCTATCAACACATGCTGTTAAAATAAAGATGCCAGTCTTCATCCTCAGCTCAGTGTCTGGTCAGCACACCCATAAATACAGGTCTGCACTTGTAAAGGAACCGGGATTATTTTATGTTGTAGCAGCTCTGAGAGGTCTCGCGGCTCACCGAGGCTCGTGAGCCCCAGCGGGGCCTGCAGCACAGGGCTCCACCGGACCGGGCGGCTAAAAATACCCGCGGCCTCCTGGCGTCCCGCGGCGGGCCTGAGTTAGGTCAGGCTGCGCCGGTTCACAACTTTAAACGGTTTCCTTTGAGTCATGGGGGCAACTGCGATATCTAATGTCGGTTCAAACTAAAAACAAAGGAAAAATCAATCGCTGCCTTTAATGTAACTAAACTTAAAAAAATAAAATTAAAAAAAAAGTTTTGAAGAGACCATGGCGACCTATGAAGGCCGAGTAGAAAATAAATCTGAGGTTGAGACACTAAATAAAAAAAGGATAAATCCCTTTTTTTCCTTTCCAGGGGCTGTTAATGGGAAGGAAAAACAAAACACAAGTTTTTTTATGATCCAGTAAAAAGCAGAGGTTTGTTTTCCGTGAAAAAAAAAAATCTTTCTTTTCAGATGTTTGTAATTAGGGTATTTATTACGCAAAGTAAATAAATAAATAAATAAATAAATAAATAAATAAATAAATAAATAAATAAATACCTACAGAGCCTGCGAGCTGGAAAATAAATCAATAAAAACGGCTTGAATTGTTCAAGTTTCCAATCATCTCGCTGCTTTTCAAAGTACTGAGATCTGCAGACAAAATCCATCAACGACATGTGCGTAAAAACTATTTCTAAACAATAGATGTTTGTATTAACACTTGACTGACAATCACATCAACAGAGCAGTCTTCTCTGGTCATTAAAACAAATAGTAATAACACGCACAAATACACTTTATTACAGTTTGACCTGAACACGTTTCATTGTTTGGATGTTGGACAGCAGCCAAATCTGCCGAAAAAAAAAACTGGGTGTAGCTTATTTCAACATTGTTTTGGTTCAAGACTAAATAAATAAAAAAATAAAAA